TTTTCTGGCTTTGTTTGTCAATCAATGTCATTTAGGTATTGACAGCATAGATAAATGCAACAAGTTTAGATAGGAAAGCCCGTAAAAATTTTAGGTCGCGAAATTATTTTGGGTCGCGACCGTTATACGCGATCTGGCGCTGTTATAGCGGTCGCTAAGAACAACGGCAAACAAAAACAGAAATAATTTTCTCTTGTCAAAGTCAGAATCTTCAAAAATCATAATAATCTTTCAAAATCTAAACCGCTCTCATTAAAGAAATTCCGAAAAGTGTTTATAGCGTCCATTTTCAAAGTAATATTGCTATCTTGTGAGTTTAATTCAAGTTTTATTTACTCCAACCGGTGATAATTTTGGAAAAGTGGCATTAAAAACTTAAAAAGCTGTGCTGTGAACTGTGAACTGCATGCAAAAACCATCCTGTATCGTGGCATAACGTCGGTTTCCAATGTTTCATAGGTATTTCATACATGCGTCCTTATATAAAATAAAGTTTCTTGTATGCAACACATTGTATTTTATTTCTAAAATAAAACGAAAATAATAATAAATTTGAATAAACAATATTTGACTTTTTTTTTTATATTGACAAATTCCGGAAAAAGCCGAACCGCTCCGAAATTTTCAAAAGTTTTGGGTCGCGACCGTTGCAAGAATAGCGCCAAATAGTGTTTACATTGTCCTTATGGGCACTTTCCAATCTAAACTTGTTTCATTTATCTATGATTGACAGAACTCAAGCAAATATTGGAAGTTCGAGTGAAATTCTCATTTAATTTCTAAAATTTGCGATAATACTTTGTATTTACATCCAGAAGCAATGGAGGTATGCAGTAAAGGTAAATACATTTCATTAACTAAATAGAATTACTTTTTAGGACCATTTAAACTTATCATGCAGCCATTGTCTCTTAAAGTCAGGAAGATTTAAAGAAAACATGAAAAACAAGACTAGAAGTAATCGTGAGTGTTTTGTAAGATATAAAAATATAAATATTGAATAGATTTGTTTATTTATTATTGATCTGTTTTAATATTGGACCTGCAAATCTTCACTTGAGCTGCTTAACGAGTTTAACAGTTTATTAATAAAGTACTTTCAATATTAAATTCCATTGAAAAGAAGAAGCAAATGTAAACGGTACATTAAAAATGCATAAAAGATAAATTTTATAATAGAGGTATTGAAATTTAGAAAACGTCAACATTTGACGTTTCCAGTATTTTACCAAACCGTTCCGTATCAAACCGATGTTTTTCAGGAACCGCTCTTGACCGTAGTTTACCGGTCTGGTTCGCCTGGTTTTACAACGGAATACTCGTACAGCCAATTGACTTACGTGCTTGTAGTTTAGTAGTATCTGATACTTGCATTATTAAATAATAACTGATTTATTTTTAATAGAAATATATATTTTGATAACAATTTTATAAACTACTAACATTTATTAACGGCGTAAAATAAAATAACAGTTTATTGTCATGGTTAAGTCTACCGAGCATTATATTTTTAAAATTTTTGAATAAAATTAATACACACCGGCTCTGATCCCATAGAGCGCTTAACCTAAGTTTGTGATTTGCTCCTTCTTTAATTTTTTTATTGATTGATACTTCTATATTTTTAACTTCATATTAGCATGAGATGTATACCAGATTATATATTTTTAGAGAAAAAGTTAAGATACAAAATAGAACGTGCAAATTGTGGCAAATTTACGCCCTCCGAATTATACCTAAATTATTAATTTTAGTTTTCCATATTATAGTACAGCTAATCTGGCACTTTAACTCCCATCAAATTACCCCCGCTCTCATACTTTGCCAGTCGTAAGTTGTGCACCGGAAAAGCTTAAATTCAAAAACTCATATCCCCCACCCCACCATTTTTGATTCAATTTCCGGGCTGAACCGTAGGTCCAACAGAAAATTTTATGAAACAAGAAATAAACCGAATTAAATTCTCTACATTTTCATTTCTAAGTAACAAACCTCTAAAACCTACGAGGACAAAGTTAGAGGGCGCCAAAATCACTCAAACGCAGTTTTTTGCATTTTTCCGGGTGAAACCATTTTATAACAAAGTTTTTAAAAAAAGAGCATAAAAAATCTACCAATTTGATATGTAACTTTTTTTTAAGTTTCGATGTTTACGAGATACAGGGTGGCGCACCTCATTCGCCTCGGTTGATTATACGAAAACGAAAAAAATGTAGAAACAAAATATTTTATGGGTATATGTGGGGAGGCAATATGCACAATTTAAAATTATTCTGAAATATACAGGGTGTTTCAGAACTAAGATCCATACCAAAGTTATATTTTTTCTTATGGAACACCCGGTATTTTATTTCATTTTTAAGCCCAAAAAAGGCATTTATTATAAGGGTTAAATATGTTTAAAATCTTTGGTTTTTGAGATAATTAAAGATGTTTAAATTTGCATGCTACTATAGAATAGTGTATTAACACCCTGTACATTACTTTTCATAATTAATTATTGTGCTGAGTTTGAAGGTAAAGAAATAAACTTTACTGGAAAATGTTATTACTTTCCTAAATTTATACAGGGGTATCAAAAATCGCTGATTTAATTTAAGGATATATTTTATATAAAAAGTTCGTTATTTCAAATACAGCACCCTGTATTTTTTACAATAAATCGACGCAGATTCAAATTCTGTTTCAAACTATATATTACGGTTTTCTATACCTATTTAGCTCAGATTTTGAATAAAAAGCAATTTTTAAATAAAATTGCAATCAAGATGGTTGCTGTCGTCATGGCAATTTTCTATTTTTAAAGTCGGCATTAGTTTATGGACATTATTATTTATAATTTATAACAGTTTACTTAGATTTGCCTACAATAGTTTAATAAATAATATTTATTAAATATGTATTTATTATTCTATCAAGAAAACGAAGAAGTAGTTCTTTGATTTATTTTACGATAACTTGTAGATATATGGATTTTCTATAAAAGAGATAATTACGACAAATTCATTTTCTTCGCTTCCAATGACAGGTTTCTGCCTCTAACAGGTTTTTGTATAAACCACATTACCAGCTCTGCGAAATAGGGCAAGTAATTTTTCAAAGGAATGCTTATCAGGAAGATTCCTATTTTTAAATACCTTTGAGCTCTTTTTAAGCTCTTGAGGCTAAGAAGCAATTTTCCTCACAAAATAAAATCACTAGAAACATATCCATTCGTTCCGCCAGCAGACACTGCTTTATTCTTCTTGATAAAATAATGAATACTTATTTATTAAACTATTGTAGGTAAATCTAAGTAAACTGTTATAAATTATAAATAATAATATCCATAATCTAATGACTTTGAAATCGACTTTGAAAATAGTTACTAACTGTCACTAGAAAATTGCCATGGTGACATCAGCCATCTTGATTGCAATTTTATTTAAAAATCGCTTTTTATTCAAAATCTGAGTTAGATAGATATAGGAAACCCTAATATAGTTTGAAAGAGCATTTTAATCTGCTTCGGTTTATTTAAAAAAATACAGGGTGTTGCATTTAAAATAACGAAGTTTTTATATGAAATAAATCCTTAAAATAGATCAGCAATTTTTGATACCCCTGTATAAATTTAAGGAAGCAATGCCTTTTTTCAGTAAAGTGTATTCCTTTACCTTTAAACTCAGTACAATAATTAATTCTGAAAAGTAATGTACAGGATGTTAATAATCTATTCTATTGCAGCATGCAAATTTAAATATCTTTAAATATCTCAAAAGCCAAAGATTTTAAACATATTTAACCCTTATAATAAATGTCTTTTTTTGGGCCCAAGAATCCAAAAATGAAATAAAATACCGGGTGTTCCATAAGAAAAAATATAACTTTGGTATGTATCTTAGTTCTGAAACACACTGTATAATTCAAAATAATTTTAAATTGTGCACGTGCCTATTGCATAAAATATTTTGTTTCTACATCTTTTCGTTTTCGTATAATCAACCGAGGCGAATAAGGTGCGCCACCCTGTATAACGGCCAATGTCGCGGGCTGCTGCGCGAGCATTATATTGTCGTGTCCCTCACTGTGGTCTGCATCTGCATTCCAGCACTAACTAGTTGATCAGCTGATGTCTTTCGGCATTGTAGATACGAGGGTTTTGACATAGTAAGCAATTAGTTCGTGTGCGGAGTAACTTTGTCCCGGTAGGTTTTATAGCTTTGCTACTGAAAAATGAAATTGTAGAAAATTGAATTCTCCTCATTTTCTGTTCTATAAAATTTTCTGTTTAACCGGAAAATAGAATCTAAATTTTTTGTTTCAGTTTCTCAAAAACGCTACTTTCAGCGCACGTAAAAAATCTCAAAACGATCAGAGAATATTATGACGATCCTCAGTTCGAGTGTGTGAGAAGGTAACTTCCAGTGCGCTATCAACCGTCATTGATTTCATGAAAGATGCATACATATTGTGGAAATGAATGCAATATATTTCGTAAAAAGTAAAGCGTAAAAAAGTTACACATCAATTTGATAGGTTTTTTATGCTCTTTACTTTTAAAAACTTTCCGACATTAAGAAAATGGTTTCACACAGAAATATGCAAGAAACTGCGTTTGGGTGATTTTGGAGCCCTCTAACTTTGTTCCCGTAGGTTTTAGAGGTTTGTTACTGAAGTAAAAATGTAGAGAATTTAATTCTCTTCATTTTTTGTTCCATAAAATTGGGACCTACGCTACGGTTCAGCCAGACAATTGAATCTAAAATATTTTTCAGTTTCTCAAAAACGGTGTGGTCCCCCCACCACACGAATTTTCGAATTTAAGCTTTTCCAGTGGACCACTTACGAGTGGCAAAGTATGAGAGCGGGGGTAATTTGATGGGATTCTACACCTTCTTTGATGCCAAATTGATTGTACTATTATTACTTAAGCAATATTTAGGTAAACCGAAACAGAAAACTACTAGTGAGTTACTAACATGAGTGAGGTTATTATCATTTTATGTTATAATACAATGCTAAAATGCTATAACATTATTGTTTTTACGAAGATGGTGGGCCGATATCAACTCAATGATAAATATCAGTAGACTCAAGCATAAGCCAATTCCAAACACCATGAAAGAGAAATAAGCTTCTTTTAATCCAACGCTTACAAAAATATTTCCTCTTCCTAAACAAATAGGTTGTTTAGTAATACAATTCCTATGTTCCCTGTCATGAATTCCATTTTCGCAAAGTCGTCTCAAGCTAGAAAAATAGAGTAACTTTAGCCTCATAGAATTGACAAAATGACAACTTAAACAAAGCAGAATAGGAACTATGTTGATATAAAAAAAAATAAATCTTATTTTACGTGAGAAATCTCCCCCCGAGAGATAGCCCATGTCTTTTGAAACACCCTGTATACCTAATACAATTTTTCAAAAGTGGCTTACTCTTATAATATTTTTTTTAATTTTTTCAGATAAAAAGCAATATTAGTTTATAAACAGTTAGTTTCGGTCACTTTCTGTCACCGGAAATGATTGTAATTTTCGATTTTTAAACGGTACCTACCCTAATTATTTTTTACTTTGTTTGATAGAAAATGAAATTCTAGAAGATTTGTTCAGAATGTCTATAAAAGACATTATCATATCTTATCACATTATGTATGTCAACTTTTGACATTTTCGCCTAAAAATAGTATTTTATATTTCATTCTAAAATGCCACGAAAACAAATGAATGAAATGAAAAAAAACAATTTGAATAGAAATACTAAATATGTGGTACCAAATTATTCGCCAAAAAATGCTCAACCGAAAGGATCAAACCTATTTTCCATCGTTCCTTGATTAAAAATTAGTAATTTTAGCACAGTCTTTATTTTTTTTTTTACTTCAGATTGAATTTTAAAATACCACCATAGACTAATATCATGTACTAGAATACCATTTTTAAATTAAAACGGTTGTAAAAGTTGACATATGGTTAGGTTATTCTATTCAGAATGTCATTTTCTATCAAACAGAATAACAAAAGTTGAAGTCATTTCCGGTGAAACAGGAAGTGACCGAACAGTATTTTTTGCTTTGTTTGATAGAAAATTAGATTCTGGAAGATTTGTTCAGAAAGTCTATAAAAGATATATCATATCTTATCATATTATGTATGTCAACTTTTGACATTTTTGCCTAAAAAAAGAGTATTTTATATTTCAATCTAAAATGCAACGAAAAGAGATAAAGCAACAATTTGAATAGAGAAATATCAAATATGTGGTACCAAATTATTCGCCAAAAAATGCTCTTTTAAAATGCCACGAAAAGAGATAAAACAACAATTTGAATAGAGAAATATCAAATATGTGGTACCAAATTATTCGCCAAAAAATGCTCTTTTAAAATATGTTGAGTTACTGTTATCCCATTTGAAAAAATTGAGTGATGATTAAAAATACAACTTTGGCATCTTTTAACCGGTCTGGAACAGACACGAAAAATATTAAACGATCAAACCTATTTTCCATCGTTCCTTGATTAAAAATTAGTAATTTTAGCACAGACTAGTTTTTTTTTACTTCAGATTGAATTTTAAAATACCACCATAGACTAATGTCATGTACTAGAATACCACTTTTTAAATTAAAAACGGTTGTAAAAGTAACATATGGTTAGGTTATTCTATTCAGAATGTCATTTTCTATCAAACAGAATAAAAAATACAAAGAGTACCGTTTAAAAATCAAAAGTTGAAGTCATTTCCGGTAAAACAGGAAGTGACCGAACAGAATACGACAGCTGTAAATGAGGTAATAAAAGCTTTTAATACTCCAATAAAGAAGAAACAACTAACCAAATATTACCAACTTAACGAATAACTTTACAAAATGGAGCAAAATGATACACAAATCTGCAGGAGATCTAAACACGAATAGAACGTTCAGAATTTGATCCTTTCGTCGATCAGAGACCAACGCGATTGAAGAACGGGTTAATGTAGTCAATTTTCTATAGACTTGTAGTGTCATAACCAGGGATTGCTCCAAGACATATAACGATGCCGGACGGGGCTATCCTGTCTGTCATACCATGCACCCTCTACTGCTTGTGGTTATGTCTCACGTTTAGAGGGTGTGGTTGTCTTGGCTTAACCGCCCGGACCAAGAGGAGATCCTCCTCCTCCTTTCTATTACTCTATAAGACATTATGATGTCTCGTGAAAAAAATAGTCTCGTGACATTATGATATCGCATTTATGGTGTCTCTCCATGTTGTTCTGTCTTGCGCAGTAGTACTGGCCTCGTGCAGACTATGACCTATTATTGTCTTCATTTGGTCCACCCAACGGTTAGGACGTTTCCCGTTCACAATCAAGAGGAGATAACCTCACCAAAATCCTAAATCCTACGCTGGCGGGACCAGGTCAAAGGACTAGGTAGAAGACTAGACTTTACTGGTCTCAACATTGGGGTACCGGGCGCACCCCATTGTATTTACCCCTTACTTCTACATTCGGGACTATGTAGAAGTGGACCGATTATCCCTAGCCACTCGTAACTACTTACTTGTAAGCAACAGTAAAGACTCCACCTACCTGCTAGGCCTTACCCAGGCTGACTTACTTACTGCCATTACTCGCTGACGAGTATTTGACACGCATCAGAATATGGTTACGCAATGCGTTTTTTTGAAATGAGCTTTTCTGTGACTGAAAAGCCCGATACGTGATGTTGTTCATCCCACTGATACTGCATACTTATACCCTTTAAGTTTTCATGGAAAATATCCTTGTATCTTTTAAGTTGTCCACCGGGTTTCCTCTTACCGTCTAAAGCTCACCGTAAAGAAGAGATTTCGATAGGCGGTTTTCTTGCATTCTGCATACGTGACCAGCCCATCTTAAGCGGGACTTTGTAATCATGACTTCAATACTCTCGCAGTTAACTTTTTCAAGGACCGATACGTTTGAGACATGGTCGTACCAATTGATTCTTAACAGTTGTCTAAGGTGTCTCTGTTGTAACTCGTTTGAGGCGCTCGGCGGTACGGCGCGGCACCCAGGTGCAAAACTTTGTAAGGACATAATTGGCGAGTCATCAGCTCCAGGAACGAGGGTCATGGTCAGGTCCTCACAATAGGAATTGACCTCAAATCCAAGGACGCAGTATAGAAAGAGGGATATATCCTTTATTATAGATACCGGGCAATACCGGTATCAGGTCTAAGGAGAGATCAAGTTAAAGAGGTGGAGAAAATGGAGACAGATCCTCCTTCTCGCTTGTAATGTCGGTAATGTTGAACAATGTCGGTAATGTCAAACGTACAGCCTCACCACAAGATGTATCATTTTTACTCCTAATAAGACAATATACTATTATGAAAATTCTTACCCTACAATAAACATTTCCATGTACGGAGACCTTTTATGACAAAATATATGTGGATTATCAGTTTTGTAAATAGTATCCACCGTTCGTAAAGTACATATTTGATTATTAGTAAAGGTGTTCAAAATGACATTATTAGCTGCATTCATTTCCACATTAAATGCAAAATACGAATCTCTTACAAGTTGCATTCCCTTCGAGACGGGAAAAAAGTTGTCTCCTTTGGATGATTTTATTTTGGTTTCATAGATTAAATTTCTCCAATATTCATCGGCTCGGTCAGAAGGTTCCTGTAAAATAAAAAATAAAGATAATAATATAATTTATGTCTTAACAATATGCTGTTTCATTTACATATTTTTATAGTATATAGAATATACGGTTAAAGTTATCCTGAACAGTATTAGAAAATATCTTTTAAACAATTTAATGGTCTCAGTACAAATTTACATTATTTTTATATGATTTTATAGCATGTTTTGTAAGATTTTATTGCATTTTAATTCACAGGTGATGTATTGTGTAATTTTGAATTGTTTTTGTGAATCCTAAACAGCGTACACACTAGGCCAGAAACAATTCGAAACATGTCAAGGTCGCATTTCGTCGCCCAGCTTTGAACGCATTTCGATTTATTTCCAGTTGTCTTGACCCACTTCGGTTTACCTCGACCTACTTTCGATTCTTAAAAGCGCCTGAAAACTACTCGTGAGGAGAGCGAGGGGGGATTTTTTTGGCGTTTTTAGTTGCCTCGTTCGATTTTGTTTTGTTTTGAGCTATTTCCAAAAGGTGGCGGTATCTGTACCGGAGGCAAAAGATTTTATTTTCATAAATCTCAGTGAAATAATTACACCTAGACGTTTCTAAAATAGCTGTTGTTACGATGATCTTCCGTTAATTACATATCGTTTTATGTTATATTGATATATTTTATAATCTACTAGCGTATACCAGCGACTTCGTTCGCGTCGAATTAATCATTTGTAATAGTGATGATAAAGCAAAGCAAGAATTTCCATTAACGTACAAACTGGATAAAATTTTCTCACATTTATGTCAGCATGAGAAAAAACAATATGGCGATATTATTATATAACTTGATAATATTTGAGGGGTAGTTTCATCTCGTTGGAATTTGACTTTCGAAAAATCCGTTTGCCAAAAATAAGTTTTTTACGTCAAGCAGTTTAAGCAGAATCGTGGTTAAGAAATTACCCTTAAACTTTTTGGAACACCCTGTATAATTTTTGAAATCCAGTAGACGTACAGTACGTTTGCTGGATCTGTGTCTCTGAAAGGAATTCGGACAAAAAACATTTAAATAAACAACAATATATTTTATACGTCGACTTGACGAGTACGTCACCGCAAATCGCTCCGCCCACTGATTTTATTGGCTACTTGCAAATTTGTCGATTTTTTATTGATGGGACGCGTTGTCTAATTTTTTACGAAAAACATGGAGAGAATATCGTTTCCCCTCTCACGGATACCTCGTAGCTACAGAACGGTCAGACGTACTGTACTTTACTAATAATTGTATTAAACAAAATTGTTCTTGAGCAAGAAATATTGACAAAAACTCTCCATTCATTTCACTTAACTGTTAGGCGATTTTGTCAGAAACGACTCCGGATCTTACTTTGATTAAATTGTTGTGTCTAGCCCCCCCTTTCCCGAAATCTAGATCACCCCCTGAGTATATGTTTCGGTTAAACATGTTTATGAATAAATAACTTACAAGAAAGAAGTGCCGATTAAATGACTGATCTTCTACACCAAAATCCAGTTTTGCATTATACAGCGTTTCCAGTGTTTTAATGCTATTGGTATTGGATTGCAGTAGCAAAACAATTCTCGCTGAAAACGCAGTATATAGAAATGTGGTACAGATTAACAATGTAAAAGTAGCCATCTTTCCAGACAAACTTTTTGGTTCGTGATAAAAATCCATTTGACAAATTATAGCCATCTAAAAAACATTTTCTTATGTAATCGTGGGGTTAAAATAATAATATAAAATTACCTGCATCATTACAATATCCATAGTACTAGGCTTATTCTCATCGTTATTTCTAGATATTGCTACAAAATCTTCTTCTTTAACTTCCCATGAAAATATAATTTTTATAATGAAGCCACATAGCACGACATAACCGGCTATTGTAATCCACACGACTTTATTAAATGGCATTGTGAACAAATTAGAATAGTAAGCTAAAGGTGGAGCTCTAAATATAAACTTAATAGCAACATTTTTCAACGGTGCAAAAATATACTTCAAGTACTTTAGTCGATAAGCCGGAGTAAAAGAAATTGTACCTAAAATTTCAATTTATATTTTTTCAATTCTTTACTTGTTCTCTACACATGTTCATATACCTAAAATAAATGTTTTTTTAAGTTATTTAAGATTTAGTTTTAAAGCATAATATATATTTTTTTATTTTATCTAGCTTCCTTTGACATTAAGTGTCAAATAATCAAACAATTTATTTCCTTCTCTCAGAAAACTAATTATTCGATTTTTTTTCTCAAAAACATATCTCGTATTTTCGCACTTTAGTGATATCTAAAAGTGGATATTATTGTTAATAATATACCTACCGTATGATCGAAAAAAAAAACGCCGCAAAGTTGGCATGGAAATACAATCGATGAAATAAACACGATTTTTTTTAATTTCAGTGTCACAATATGACATGGCCAGATATATTGTTTGACATTGCTTGACGTTTAAAGTCACAGGCTACTGGTTAAAATCAAGAAAAATATACGCTAGTTATACAACGGAAAACTGCTGACATAGTGCCGGATAGTGCTTAGTGTGCATTTTGCGAATCTCCTAGTTTTCTAACAGACAATTTTATATTCAGACAGATATTTGATTTGAAGTAATTTAGATGTATTAATTTTAACTTTTGTATTTCTATTTTTTGTAACTTTAATGTAAAAGTAAAATAAAGTTTTTAAAAAGAAGATTGTATCGTCTCGTATTATAAGTCGCTTTAAAACGTAATGTTAAATAACTTAATAACGATTTATTTTAGGTATAGGAACATGTATATGTATAATCAAAAAGAAACAAATTGAAAAATCTTTTAACTAGCAAAATTTAAAAAAAATGGGGATTGCATTTAAAAAAAATATTTATAATAACTTTTAACCGTTCAATTCCAAGACAGCTATGGCCAATATTATTTGACATTTGAACAATTGAATTCTTGAAATAGATAGTCACGTGTTTTCTCTTTCTGCCGCAGTGGCTGTGGTAATCACTCAACTTGGCGTTTAGGCGATACATTATTTTAAAGGGCAGTTTTTTTCCCCAAAAATTTTAAATATATTATGTTTTCTCAAAAACAGTTAGTGTTAGATATAGAATGTTTGATATCAAAATTCAGAAAAAATTATAGGGAATTTAAATATGTAATAAAAATGTGGGGGGAGGCCCATTTAAAATAAGAACGTAGCTGTCATATTGAAAATATTTTAATCGAAAGATCTCGTTGTGAAACAATGATGCGAAAAAAAATCTCCTATACAGGGTGCTACAAATTCGAGGTACGAGCATTGGTATCTCGGAAACCGTAAGAGATACGAAAAAATTGGGGCAATGTTGCACTTTAGGATGTTCACCAAGATACCATCAAAAAAGTTTTAAACATTTCAAGGATTGCTGAGTTTTTTGGAAAAAACGGATTTTTTAAAAATCAATTTTATTTTTTCCTGGCGTTACTTTTAGAAAATCAAAAAACTAATTGCACGTTCTCATGGCTACTTTATTAGGGCTATCCAAAGATATTTAAACTCAAGAGATACAATTGTTTACTTTTTTCCTTCATCGGCCATTATTCTATCCTTATTTTCGCATCTCTCTTACACCGAAAACATTTGCAAGATTTACCTGTATATTGGTATTAGTATTCGATTAAATACCACAACCAATTATTAAGTAATAAATAATTTCGTTATATTTCTATAATATATCAAGTACATTAATTTGCTAACGTCAATATTTTCATTTAATGCTTAACTGCTTAACTATTTTAAATTTTATAATGGAATAAAAATATCATGATCGTGTTTCTTTTAATAATAAAAAGCACTTTGGCAACGTCAGTTTTAGAAATATGCCGGCATAGTACAACGGATTTCGAGGATGAATGAAAATTCCTAGATTCTCCCGTTGCAATGTTGCTATGCCGCCGATCAAGCTCCGTTATTTTGTGGACTTCTGTGGACATTAATTTGAAAATATGGTGCATTCATGTATTGTGTACAAGAGAGTGTATCATTTAAATCCAAATTTAACTTTTCACCGGTAAATAAAAATAAGTAGGGTTAGGTATATTATTATATCCTCTTCTCTGTAGATCAGAGGCGGACCTAGACATAAAAAATAGCAGATTTCTAAATTATATTTATTTTTAGGTTTATTTTTTAAATTGTATATTTATTAATTTATTATTTTTTTAAATTATATATTTATTAATTAAATTATTTGTAGAAAAAGGTACATGGTACGTACTAATTACTAATAACATAATAACAATTTCTGTTTCTCTTTTAAGAAAGGGTATTGAATAAGTATAATCTAGGTACCCACTTGGGTTTGACAAATCATTACCTACCTTTTGTGAAAATTTTATTGGGGTGTACCAAAAATGGAATTTTGCGGCCTTACTTTCTTGTTGCCGTTACAATTTAATACGGCTTTTGTTTTAAATTTTGGTTGCTATAATGTAAATTGGACATCTTTTGACATATATATAATTAATGTACTTATTACATGAATTTTATGACTACTACATTTTGTTGTATTTTTACGTTTTATCGTATTGAAATTCTTTGCACATTTATTATTTATAAACAATATGAATTTTCCTTTGCAAACTAGAGAAAAAAAAACTAAATATTTTTTAAGACTAAGGGAAGAACCGTTTACTAAACAATCGCCATTTTATTTTATTTATGATTTTCTAAAATTATCGCTTTTCTGATGACTGTATTATAATATCAAATAATTTTGTTTAGATTTGTAATAATTTCATTTAATGACATTCATTTATCGAGTTTTAACTACAGAGCAGACTCCCTCTATGAACACTATTTGTTCTCATTGTTTCATATACATACGTTGACCATGATCATTCGACTAGGCAAGTGCATTATTTTAAAATTCCTCAACACCGAACGCTAACTTCCAAAAATCTTTCAGTTTCATAGCGCCACATTTGTGGAATAATATTTCTAATAACTTCAAATTTCAATCCTTTACAGATTATAAAAAACAAATTAAAAATCATTTACTAAATTCGTAACAATAAATCATTTAAAAAATTATAATTTCTTCGACTGATTTGTGAGGTTCTTATTCTTCTGATATGCCCGTCGTTGGTTACTGTTTCGGTTACACTGTTTCGTTATGCCTCTCTGCTTATCTCCGCTCATCCCTTATAAAATTATATTTTCACTTTTTTTATCTAATTTTATTTTTTTTAATTCTGTTTATTTTTATATTTTAATTTATTTCTATTTTGTTTTTGGGGTCGCACCACTCTGGTACTTTGTGTCATTGTATCGGTTTTTTAATCGCGGTGCGATCCCTTTAGACACACATTTTAGTAGTTGTAAAATTCATATAGATATATAATAAATATACATATAATAATAAAGTTTTTATCAAAAATATGTGAAGTCTACAAATATTAGTTTTTGGTAAAATATTGTGTTACTAGGTTAAAATAACTATTTTATTTTGTTATTGCTAATAGAGGGAGTCTCATTCACCGGAGATGAACAAGGTTTGGAACAAGATATTGAAACTGTATTTACTAATACACCCAAAATTTGATATTTTATTTAATAAAATAAAGTAAAAATCGCTTATTGATTTTTTAATCGTTATTCTTATGTGACAAGCCATCTTATAATAAAAAATTATGCCGGTTTTTATTTATTTCGCTATCCTCCCTCAACTTATTTTTTTCCTATTAATATTCTCCCTCAACTTTTTACAATGCGACAAATATGTAAGTGTTATTATTCTTTTTTAAATTTATTAAACAATTATTTTAATTTCCTTAAAATACTGACGTCGATCGGCACGCCACTGGAAATTGACCTCAACCGTCTTATCTTTGTAAACAACTACATTGTTGCCGTTGCGCCGATACCCTATTCCCTTCTTTGTCCATTCTCTCTCGCACTCGTTGATTTTCACAAACCAATGTGTGTTGAAGGTTTAGAGCGTTTTTTGAATGGATCGTTGTATCTCCCGAGTTTAAATATCTTTGGGGCTATCTAATTGATATTTGTGAGATACAGAGGGCAAATTAACTTTTTTTAAGTACGGAACTGCATTTTTTATTTCAGATTTTGAAAGAACTCGGTCTCCTGAGTACAATGATATACCACACTTAATATTTTTTTTTATATCGGACATTTGAACACAATTTAATTAAACTAATTTCAAGTCCGGCTCTGTTTTTTTTATTATTTAATCTATTCATCGTTACAATATTGGCAAGCTTTCAAACTTAACAATGACGTGGAGTAAAACATCGAATACGAATAATCAAATGCAATTAAATAATAAAAAATAATATAAAATTATTGGGCATTACTTGCCGTCATTTTTAAAAGTGACAATACATTTCGACATTACAATAAAGAGTACAGAATGCATTCGGAAGTATAAGAAGAAGATATGTTCAAAGAACTATAAATAAGGTTGAACGAAAAATACATTAATTTGTGCATTAGGGACGGTGGTAACCCTTTCGAACATGTAGAGCATTACTAGTTTTAGAAACTAGTTTGTAGAAGTTGATTTATTTATAATAACTACGATTAATATTATGCATATAATTAGATGGTACACTGAGATTTCAAAATGAAAATAAAAAAAAGTTATAAATAATATTTTTATATTGCTGACCTGGGTATTATTTGTTTGAATCTTTCAATTGGCTCGATTCAATGTTAATTAGCGCTGATCCATATTGTTGCGATGAATATAATCAGATTAAATAATTTAAAAAAACAGAGTGGGATTTGAAATTATTTTAAATAATAATTAAATAGTTTTGTTATTGTTAAGGTACCTAAAAAAAGGTATCAAGTGTGGCATATCATTGTACTCAGGAGATCGAGTTCTTTCAAAACTTCAAATAAAAAATGCAGGTCCGTATTTAAAAAAATTAAGTTGGCCTGTGTATCTCACAAATTATCAGCTAATTTAAAAATCTAAAAACACTATCAGATAACCCTAATAAAGTAGCCATTAGAATGTGCAATTAGTTTTTTGATTTTCTAAAAAGTAACGCCAGGTAAAAATAAAATTGATTTTCAAAAAAATCGGTTTTTTCCAAAAAACTCAGCAATCCTTGAAATTTTTAAAACTTTTTTGATGGCATCTTGGTGAACATCCTAAAGGGCAACTTTACCATCTTCGTATCTCTTACGATTTCCAAGATACCAATGCTCGTACCTCGAATTTGTAGCACCCTGTATAGATATTGTAATTCTCTAGAATCTTATAACTTATAATGCACTCTCAACCTGGGATACCCTTTATGCTAGGTAGAACTAGTACAAAAAAGAATAAGTACTTCATATTGTTATTAATAAAAAGTAAATCTTGAAATTTTGTTTAAGCCGATTATGACTAAAGAATTTATTTAAATCTGATATTTAGCAGCCCTTTCAGATGGAGAGGAGCGTCCGCGACTTCGAGCAAGTACCATGAGTTTATATGAACAATTTCACATGGGCGCGTATGATCCGTTCAACGGAGTTCGTCCGACGGCTATCTTGAAAAAAAACACGACGGACGGTACGTTGCGGACGGTTCGTTCCATCTGAAAGCGCTGTAAAAAAGAATTAAAAAACTAATTTAGATAATTTAACAATTATTTCTTACCTGAAATGTCGGCTCTTTTAAAAGCTATGTCGCCAAATAAACCCTTCGTATACGAGTCGTTAGGTAGTTTGCTACTGAATCCCCAATCTGATCTTATAATTTTTATTTGAGTGGCGTTCAATAAATCGCAAAGAGATTTGAAAAGTATATAGTTAATTTTTGTCACATAATCTACATGTTTGTATCTAAAAATGAAAATTATTTATATATTAGTTAATATTAATAACGTTAAAGTTGTACTTTCGTCTAGAATTTCGTTTTATTTGGAATAGGCATCTAAAAGTTATTTGCAAGAATCTACCTTCAAATTACTAAAAAATTATAAAACGGCCCAGAGAAAGCTACAATTAAAATACTATATAGCAAAAATGTGATTTTGTCAAATTCGATGTCACACTTTTATTTGTTTACAAGAATTTACGGAGTTTGATTATCTTTTTTCTGAATTAAAATGATCACCTACAAAAGAATTAGTTGAACTGAAGATAGTATTCGCAGTATTACTTGATTGCTGTTCATTACTCCGATCCCTTGCAGGCCTCCCCACAGGCTCACACCACATACCATCCGAAATAAATTAACAAATAAAAGAAATATTTACAACTAAAGGAACTTTATTAAACAATACTAATATAAAAGGTTTACATAATCCTCCATTCACAGCCAAACAAAACCCCAAATGATTGTAAAATTCACGCGTCACAATACAAAGCTGTTCTAAATTATTAATAAAATCTAAATTGCTGTATGACAATTTTGAGTATTCTCCACAGGAAGCAGTCGGTCGGCGATAGATCATGTGGTCTTTTCCCTTTTTTATTATAAACGAGTTTAGGAAATCTGCTGGTAGACTGTCAAAAAAAGAAGGTTGTGTCGGGTTTGCTTGTAGCGACCGACGAAAACCATTTCCCCTCTTTTCCCTCTCAAGTGCGGTTGGAACTGCCCTAAGCATTACTTTAACCTCACAAAGTATCCTTTATTGGCTAGGATAGCCAATGTCTATACTTTTCCTCTTCTATATTTTCCTTCTTATACAGAGTGAATTTGCTACGATGTTCTCTATGGGTATCTCGGAAACTACTGAAGATAGAGAGTCGGTTAAATGGGGAAAGAATTGCAGTTTTGTGGGATCATAAATATGCACCTTTTAGATTTTTGAAAAAGTTCATGACTTACTAGATATTTCGAAAAAAAAATATTTTGGCTATTTTAAAAATGGCCTCTAATTCCATTACAATACATTTTAGACAAAAAGTTTTCAGAAAAAAGTTTTATATAATCACATCCTTAATGAGATTGTGTTCTTCGCTTTTTTCTAAAGCCTGTCATTTTTGACATATGACACAAACTTATGTTTTTTTAATGGAAACTATAGTTGACCATGACTTCATAAAAAGCGCCATTTTTTAAGCTTTTCAGCGATATAAGCGTATTCTTATCATTTTTAAACAATTTCACTTAGTTAGCCATGGAAACAAGTTCAATTGTCTTTGCTCTCAGAAATATCAAACTGTCACATACAAACTTTGTAAATTAAAATAACCAAAAATTGTAAATATGAATTTTTCAAATGAAGTAAAGCGTGTTAGATTATTGGTTCAACTTTTCTTGGCCATACATTTTTGAGGATATGTATATACATACGCATTTTAGAGAACGGTTTTCAAGACATGTTAGAAAAGTTAAATTTAGAGACTCGCGCATCAATGAAGTGGTTCCAACATGACTTTCATTATGACACTCCGCCTCCCTCCGTAATGAGAGAAATGTTAAAAATTATTTATATCATAATTATTCAAACTCAGTGATAGGAAGAGGTGGACTAATTGCATGGGCCTCCTCGATCAACTGACCTATCCATTTTAGATTTTATGCGGTATATTTTTTGAACATTTTCTAAAATAACTTGTGTTACAATATCACTACATACACTAAAATAAAAGTGTATGTGTGATATTATTGTTTTAAGTTTTAGTTTGTGTAGTGTAAATTGTAAAGAACCGTTTAATCAAATATTCTGTCTTTTTATAAGTTATAAATTATAATAATTAAATAAATAACAGAATAAGAATACCATACCAACTAAGTGAAATTAGTCAGGAAAGATAAGAAATGGCTATAACTCAGTAATTTGTCGAAAAAAACATGTTATAGCTTATATCCCTGAAAAGCTTAAAAATGGCGCTTTTTATGAAGTCATGGCCAGCTATGGTTTCCATTTAAAAAACATATGTTTGTGTCATATGTCAAAAATGACAGGCTTTAGAAAAAATCGGAGAACACAAACTCATTAGGAATGTGATTATACACTTTTATATATTTTTTTTATTATATAACTTGTATCTGAAAACTTTTTGTCTAAAGCGTAGTTTACACGGGATAGAAAATTGCGATAGAACTTGCTAGAGTAACTTGCAATAGTGTTTACACTTAAGCAAATTTTAAAGCAATTTCTTGCAACAAGTACTTTCTAGGCATATGCTTTGAGCAAGAAATTGCATGCACGTATACACGGTATAGTATATATTGCACAAGTATATTGTTTAGAAGAAAAATGTCGCGCCGTAAAAAGAGAGCTGCCGCCACTGCTCGTCTTTTTGCAATTTTACGCAAACAGTCAAGAAAATCTAGAAAAAGAATATATGGGTTAAAGAATGGATTGCCAGAAGGCCTAGTCTTGGAGATTACGCGATGTTATTAAAAAAAATAAGAAATGATAGAAAATAAATAAATATATAAAAAAGTAAATAAATCTTTCAAATAAATTAATCAAAGTGATGGTATCTTCTTTCAACCACATGCTCCATTTTAATATCGTTATTTAACACGCCTTCGAAAATCACTTGCACCAAAAACTTTCAACAAGACGGAAATAAATTTTAACTTGCCAGAGCACTCTCCCAACCTGTTTACACTTGCAAGCGTCTTTCGTCGCAACCACTTCCCTGCCAGTTTTGTGACTTGCTGGGAGAGCGCTTTCGGATACTGTTTACATTATGCAAGTTTGGTAGAAGTGCTCTCAGACATATACTTGCGACAATTTACTTGCCCGTGTAAACTACGCTTAAAATAGATTATAATGGAATTAGGGACAATTTTTAAAATAGCCAAAATTTGTTTTTTTTTCGAAATATCTAGTAAGCCATGAACTTTTTCAAAAATCTGAAAGTCGCATATTTATGTCCCCACTGCAATTCTCTCCCCATTTTACCGACTCTCTATCTCCAGTAGTTTCCGAGATACCCATAGAGAACATCGTAGGAAACTCACCCTGTATTTGTCATTAGTCTACTTTTCCACTGATCCTCGCCTCTTAGGAGGACTTCTACTACATTGTCTTTCGTAATTTGCCCAATTTCGTTATGTGTTTGTACCCTGTAAGCTTCAAACTTTGGACATACAAACAAGGTGTGCTCTGGGGTATCCACCTGTTGTGGCATCCTCTTTATTTATATTCTTTGCAGGTATGAGTCAAAGATCCCATGACAAGTCATAGCCTGTGATGTATAAAAATTCATATCACCCCATTTTCTTGGCATCATTTTCTAATGTCTTTGATAAAAGTCTTAGCCCACCCTTGGCATTCATTTCATCTTGTTTGCCACTGTGCGTAAGTCATCTGCTTAGCCTCCGTAGCCTAATCTTTTCCTCTTTGATAAATGAGGTCCCGTTCTTTCACCAGCAGTTCTATTGGAGCCATTCCTGCAAGAGCTGTAACTGCTTCTCTTGGAGTGATTTTGTAGGCCGATATGATGCTTATTGCCATTCTACGGTTAAGTCGTTCTAATAAATCCCGATAGGATTTAAACTTCAATCCAGATTTCCAAGCTGGTACCGCGTACAGCATTAAAGAAAGTACAGCTGTTGTTTGTACCCTTCGCTTTGTTGCTCTTGGACCTCCGACATGAGCCTACTAAACTTATTAATGGCCGTATTTGCTTTTTCATAGATTCTTTTAATATGTGATGTCATTCGTACGACTTTGTCTAAATACATTCCTAGATACTTGATTGCTTGTTGACTCTGTATATAATGCTCGTCAATCTTTATCTATATTGTAGGTAAAAAATGTCTATACCTGTGTGGCGGATTCATCTCTCAAAAAAAAATCCTTTATGGGTATTTCGCCACTCCACTGCAAGAAAAATCTTCAAAATAAAATAGTTATTTTTAAAAAGTTTAACTTGATATAATGTCATTTTAATAGAACGTCAACGGTTTCTTGTAGACGTATCTGTTTTAAAAAAGTAAAATGTTCTCGAATAGTTGAATTTAAATATTTTAAATAGTTTTTTTCTTTATTCTTTATATTTCTTTTTGCTTCCGACGACGGAAAGAGATAAACTTTCCGAAACGTTAAGCATTTTTTTCTTTGTTAGGCAAATTTTGTATAACTGTAAACATAACTTCTGATAAGCAGTGTCCGTTTAGGTTTAACGCAGAAGTGTTTACAAAAATAACTGTTTTATTTTGTAGATTTTCTTACAGTGCAGTGGCGAAATACCCATAAAGGATTTTTTTGGATATATTGTAGGTACCTGTCTTCTACCAGATAGTAATACCAATTCAGTTTTTTTATCGTCACTAGTATCCCCATTTCGGCCAGTTTCCACATTATCAATTTCCTGAAATGCTGAGTTTTGTCTTCCAGCTCTGTTTTATATTTTGCCCTAGTTACAATCGCTAGGTCGTCTGCGTATGCAATTAGGGATATTCCTCTTTCCGTTTCTAATATTTTATTACAGAAGATATTCCAGAGATACTGGTCCCAGAACAGACCCCTGTGATACTCCAGCAGTAACCTCATACTTCTTCCCATGCTGCGATATTATCCAGCGATCACTTAAATAAGATTGTATTATTTTTAGTATATGTCCATATCTATTTGTCCATCACAGCGTATTTGTCCATCACAGCGATTATTTTTAGCTAGGGAACTGACTTAAAAGCATTTTGCACATCCAGCGTTATCATGGCACAAAATTCACGATTTTTGTTTGCTTTCTTCATGATTTTGCCAGGTTTGGCAAGCACTTCATTTATTGCACTCAAAGCACTTCTTCCTCTTTTGCGAGCTCTTTTTGCAATTGTGCTTTTATTAAACTCTCTAATACCGTATGATCGAGTTTTTTTCGATATAGATATATATATATATATATATATATATATATATATATATATATATATATATATATATATATATATATATATATATATATATATATATATATATATATATATATATATATACACATCGGGACAGGTCAACTCTGTGTATAGGATTTTAACGTGTAAGACAGTGATGTAGGCAGCTTAATGGCAAATCAAATGTATTAAAAAGAGAAAAAAGTTGGGTGGGTATGGGTGGGCACATTTCTTCTGAGCGGTATTGCCAGATTTTGCATCAAAATTTCAAACCGCAGAAGTAGACGTTTCAAAAAAATGTGGCATCTAGGGTTGGATCTGGATTTTCGACAATTAGTTACTCATTTTACTACAACTGTAATAGATTACATTTAGCTTAGATATATTATCTTCATTTCAGTAGTATACATGAACATTTTTAACATTTTTTTATAATACGTTTATTTTATTCTAATTTCTTTAAGACTACGATAATATACTGGTCGGCAAGAGAAAATCTTGGGTCGTTTATTTTAGTCATCATTACTACATGTCTAGAAGTGAATCGCTATGGCAATCTTGTAAGTCGGGGAGAGAAAATTATTACCTATCCACTTAATCATAATCATAAATTTAACATAGTTTATTTTATTCTAATTTCTTTAAGACTACGATAATATACTGGTCGGCAAGAGAAAATCTTGGGTCGTTTATTTTAGTCATCATTTACCTACATGTCTAGAAGTGAATCGCTATGGCAATCTTGTAAGTCGGGGAGAGAAAATTATTACCTATCCACTTAATCCGGAGCTCAACTTCATACGCTTGGGAAAATTCTCGCTCTTTTCTCTTTGTTGCACGACAATCGGCACCCAAAGCCGTGTGTACATTATCGGTTATATCATTAAATAAACTAACCAAAAAATATGCTGTATTACGTAGTAAATGGTGCAAATTCTATTGTCGACCATTCTAATCAGTATTAAATAATAATGGAGTGAGCCAGTGTGAAGTGAGACATTAAATGATTGATCTTTTGTTAAATTACGTGAAGGTATAACTTAACACAATGATGAATCGTTTAATGTTTCAGTATGCACCTCCATAATTATTTAATCTGTAATCATACTGATTACATTGTTCAACAACAGAATTTGCGCTTTTAGTACGTTTTGGAATTAATAGATTATCTGTCTTATTATGCAACTAAGGATGTACGTGTCGTGTTGACACACGAGAATCAGCAACCAAAGCCGTGTGTACGCTTCATTAAATAAACTAACCAAAAAATATGCTCTATTACTTAGTTACGTACATCCTCAGTTACATAATAGGACCGATAATCAATTAATTACATAATGTTGTAAATATCACAAATTCTATTGTCGACCGATCCGGATTAAGTGGATAAATATAATAATAATAATTAGGTAATAAACTTCTCATTTTTCTTCCGTATTTTATAGTCTTTTCTCTTTCAGTATATCGTATTGTACTGAACAAACGTTGACTTTATTCTTCATACACACGACAATCGGCATACAAAGCCGTACGTTGTACGTTTTATTAAATAAATTAACCTTTTTGTTTATTTATTGGTTCGTTTATGCTTTATTTAATGATTGATATTATTTTGTTAGAGATTATACCACCAAGTGCTATAAACTAGTACAAAATTAAAAACTTAATTTTAAAGTAAAGTTCTTTTGAAATATATCTATATTACTATTATGAATGAAACCTCTTATCGATTTTTAATTTGGAATTATATTAATTGCCATGTGTCATGTTTTTATTATTATTGTCAATTTTCTTGCGGATAGCTGATAAATTAATCTATTGGCAATTGAATATGATTATAATATGATGTTCAAATACCATTTGTTATTCACAAAAACGGCCTTTTATTACTTCTCTGTCATACTGATCCATCAATAAATATTTACTTACGTGTTGCAGCAGACGGAGCAAAATTTATTAATTTTATGGTCCTTTATATTTACTCATCCCTGATTCCATCCAATTATGGCCGCAGATGAAGCGGGAGGTAGACGTTCGCTTTCGGTCATAGGCGTACTGAAAACTAAAATTTCTTATCCTCGTATTCAGAATTATAAATAGCAATAAAAAGGATAAAGATAAGTAAAACTTTATACTGATAAGTTTGCTGTACCAATATTAAAAAAAATTGGTAGTAGGAAATATTATTTCATAATATTATGACATGATAATGTTATAATGTAATACTATAAAGTAAAGTAAAAGATTTGAAGTTAACGTCTCCTTTTTGCTGCCAGGGCTAATTTGGACGGGGCCTACTTTGTTTACGCGGAATCCGAACAGCGGTCCTCGGTCAATGACCGAGCAAGTGTCTAAATCGACTCTTACTCACGAGATATCCGATCTCATCCGGCCTCGAACCGGCGTGAATGAGCAGTGTGTGTCAATATATTTTACACTTTTGCCTTTATTGGACAACAGCACGATACAGAGTTTCGAACTGGTCACCCGTCTATCCACTAGTATCGCCTTACGTCGCTTAACTTCGGTGTTCTAATGGGAATCGGTGTTTCGACGTAGCTGGACCGTTGGTTGCCCGTAATACTATAGCTACAACCGTTATAACACTAGTTATACCACCCCGCATAAATTCAGTATTATTATAAATAAGTAATTTATTTCACACCCCTTAAAGTGTAGCACAATTAGAGATCATAAAAACGATGCCACTTAACAGTTACATAATGTTTATAATGTTAGTTTTAAAAGTCGTTTTTACATAAAAAAATTGTTTATCTGTTTTATTTATGATACAAAACCCTTGATCATCAAAAACTTTAATCATGTCAATGAGTTTTTTTTATATTGAGTATGTATGGGGCTTAAGCAGCGTGGTGAAGGCGTTGTTCCACTGTTTGCATCTTAAACATTGTCAGCTGTCATAAAAAGATTATTATTAAAATTCTAATAAATTAAATTTTACAGAATTCATAAGCAAAACTTTTAAACTAAAATTGGCTGTAATACTAAATCTAAATGAAAATAAAATATTAGTACGCCTATGACTCAAGAGTTTGGTTTGGTTTGGTGAGGCGGGGTGAGACCAATCAGCTAAGACAAATCAAGTGGTGGGAGAGAATATGGCCGTAGATGCCAGGTCTAGGAAATATTCCCTAACATTAAGGTTTCTATCCAGGAAATACCTTTTTAGAAAGCATATTTTTGGACACAATTTAGTGTGTGTATTTAATTTGTTTTCTTAAACTTGGCATTTCTAAAAGTATCATCAGATAAATATTTTAAAAAGAATATTTTTGTTGGTTGATTGACCGTGCCAACCAGGCTTCAGGAGGAAATTTTCAAAACTTCATCTGGCAACACTGACAGTATCGAAGTCCTAGAACGGTAGACAGAAATCAAATCAGTCAATGGATTTTGAAAGGGGTTGGGTGTACATCATTCTACAATATATTTACGATTTTGAAGGTTATCCATACATCTCGAGACGTTTAATCTTTTAACAATAAAAATAATTAAACGTCCGGTTGTATCTATACTGCTCATGTTTTTGTTGCTGTTTCAGCATAAGTTAAAACAAGCATTAAAAAAATGACTAAAAATCAACTTTAAAAAAGGACAATTAGCAAAATAATTATAAAAAATTAAATCAAAGGTTCAAAAATACCTCCCTGTTGTGCTTCGCAATAGCCAAGACGGTTATAAAACTCTGACCTAACTTTAGCTAACATAACAGCGGGGATATTTTCTAACGACTGAACGATTTTTAATCGCAGCTCGTCAATATTCATGGGTCGTTCATGGTTATGGCCATAAATGGAATTTTTTACATATCCCCACAGAAAGAAGTCATTGGGCGACAATTCAGGAGAGCGTGGTGGCCAATTAATTGTGCCTTGTGTGGAAATTAGCCGATTGGGAAATGTGGTTTGAAGGAACAGATTTACGTTCCGCGCGTTATGCGCAGGACAGCCATCCTGCTGAAACCACACTTCCTCAAAATTGATTGGCAAATTTCGAACTGCTGGTACAATTTCGTTTTGTAGCATATCCAAATATTTGGCAGCTGTTAACATACAATCAATAAAAAAAGGCCCAATGATAGGATTTTGCAGCATGCCAGCCCAAACATTTATTTTTTGTGGATATTGTGTCCGCAGTGCCATACTAAGGTGCTTATTTTCTCGAGACCAATAACGTACTATCGAAGGATTGTGGTAGCCATGTAAGGGAAACGAGTTTTCATCTAAGAATAATATATTTTCCAAAAATAAATTATTCCGATCGGCTCTTTCTCTTACAGCCTCGCAAAACTCCAGACGTCTGTTACAATCTGCGGGAAAAATTTCTTGCGTGGTACTGATTTTGTAGGACTTATATCCATGCCTTTTTAAAACTCTGCGCACCGTTCGAGCATTGCAACCAACTTGTTCGGCTATATTTCGGCTTGAACAAGGTTCGCTTGTTTCGACAGCGGCACAAATATTAATTTCCTTGTCGGGAATTACCTTCTCTGCGCCTTCCTTATTGTCACAATTTCTGCACGCCGCAATGCAGCCTGTTTGCTCAAATTTATGAACAATGTTGCGTACAGTTGTGGCATAAGGCACAGGGCGATCTTGAAAGGTGAACACATAACGCCCAATGACCTCTTCCACACTTGAGGAAATGTAAAAC